TATGTACAGAAATTTCATAATTTAAGTCACAGAATCCTTTCACAAAACATAAACCTCAAACTGAAACAAATAGGAATCTTGTACACCATGAAGGTTCACATAAGTAATACTACACAGCGAGACCAATTCAAAATATACAGCAGAAAGATACCGACAAAACAACTTAAGCAAATAATAGTAGATAATGGAACTATGGAAAGAACAATATCATGAACAAGGGAAAACAAAGTCTAACAAGTAGCAATTAGACATGGGAACACAATTGAAGCATGTAACAATTAAGACAGGGAAAGATGTAATTGTGAGAAAATGGGAAAACAGGGAAAAGAGATAAATTAGGGGCGCATAAGTACTCATCACCTCAAATATACGCCGCTCAAATGAGTTTCACATAGCAAATAGTCTGAGGGTTCCTAATTCCCTCAAGTCAAAGTTAGACACAATACTTACCTCGCTCCACAGGCCACTCAATGCTCAATTACATCTTTTCCTATAGAATCCAACTCCAAATCACTCGTATCTATCCACAAACGACTCAACAATATCAAATATTGCTAAAGAAATCAATTACAATGCATAAATTTAGATTCCCAAAACTTTCCCCCCAAAAGTCAAAAATCGACCCCGGGCCCGCTTGGTCAATACTCGAGGTTCGGACCAAAATCCATTCAGTCGTTCACCCTCGAGCCCGATTATATAATTAGTTTCGGAATCCGACCCCAAATTGAGGTCTAAATCTCTAATTTGCAACCCCTCCCCCCCTTCCCCTATTCTTCCTAAATCCCTAGTTTTCTACCATGAAAGAACAAAGATTAGGGCTAGGAATTTAATGGGTGATGATAGAAATGGAAGAAAATGAGTTAAAGAGTACAAACCTATGAATTGATGTTGAGTTTTCCCTTCAAAATCGCACCTAGACCGAGCTCTAATAGAGAGTTTATGAAAAATGGGTAAAATCCCGTTTTGGTTCTGTTTTAAGGTCTGGGCGTCAGGCCTTCTTCGCTTTCGCGAAGGGCCTGCCGCGTTCGCAAAGGGCCTGCCATGTTCACGAAGTACAGCAGCCCGAATGGCTTTTGCGTTCGTGAAGGATTGCACGCGTTCGCGATGGTCTATCCTCCCCTGACCATCGCATTCGCGTAGAACAACCCACTGATCCCCAGTACACCTCCAATAATTCTATACGTTCGCGTGTTGCCTGTCGCATTCGCGAAGAGCAGACCCCCAATGCTCCGCGTTCGCTACCATGGCCTCGCGTTTGCGTAGAACAAACCATCCCCCATCGCAGCTCACACTTCGCGTTCGCGAGAGTGCCTTCACAAACGCGAAGAAGGAAACCATAAGGCACCTGAAACTGAAGAAAAACCTGATTTCTAAGTTTCAAAACACCCGTAGCCTATCCGAAACTCACCCGAGTCCTCGGGGCCCCAAACCAAACATGCACACCAGTCCTAAAATATTATATGAACTTGCTCGCATGATCAAATCGCCAAAAAATTGCCTAGAACTACGAATTGAACACCAAATCGAATGAAATTTTTAAGAAAACTTTAAAACTTCTATTTTCACAACTGAACGTCTGAATCACATCAAATCAACTTCGTTCTCACCAAATTCTACAGACAAGCCATAAATATTATAGTGGACCTATACCGGGCTTCGGAACCAAAATACGGACGCGGTATTAACAAGGCCAAACATCAGTCAATTCTTAAAATCATCAAACTTTCAAACTTTTAAGTTTTTTAGCAAAATTCCATATCTCTAGCTAGGGATCTCGGAATTCGATTCCGAGCATACGTCCAGGTCCCAAATCACAACAGAAACCCACCAGGACCGTCAGAGTACAAATTTGGGTCCGTTTACTAAAAATGTTGACCGAAGTCAACTCAAATGAGAGGCAAAATTTCTTATTTTTATCAGTTTTTAGCATAAAAGCTTTTCGAAAAGACGCCCGGATTGCGCACGCAAATTGAGGAAGGTTTAAACATGACTTTTAAAGGTTTCGTATCACAGAATTATGTTTAAATCTTACGATGACCTATCGGGTCATCACAGTTGGTCGATGGCTACGAACTAGATCTGAGAAGAAGAGGGGCGGTAGGGACTAGGGTTTTGTTCTTCGCGGGGAACATTGAACGAAAGGAAGAGAATTAAAAAGAAAACGAAACTAAAGAAGGGTCACTTACTTTCTCAATTTTTATTTTCTTCATGATTTAGCAACAATAAAAATGTCGCCATAAGATCTCTACTAATTTGGCCAACATAGTCGCCTCTAAAATACCTTTAGTTGTGACTCGAGACTGATCGCCACCAAAACCTTTTCACCCAAAAATAAATTCAGAGGGAAAGAAAAAATGAGGCATATTTGTGGCCACTAAAACACAACTTTGATGTCGCCACTAAAAGTCGCCACAGAAAACTTACTTTCTTGTAGTGGTGTGATCAACTGTCTTTTTACCTGTTCCTAATTTCAATTTTAGATTTTCATATCTAAGTTCTAGAACATTTGAATCAAGTTCATGGACCTAGTTTTTCAAAAACAGTATTTTCACTTACAATTTCACTAACCCTAAGTTTCAGGTTTTGTCACATAGCCTTCAAAATCACACATTCTTTAGACAACTGTTCCTTTTCATTGTTTACATCCCCAGATCCATCAATTAGTTCTAGAAGTAACTCTGATAACCTTTCTTTAGACAACAATTTAATCTTGTCTTTGAGATGAATTACACTTACCTGAGTTTCTTTATCAGATTCTCCAATGGCCATAAGTGCTTGTTCATCCCCATCATAATTATCTGAGCTTTCTCCCCAAGCAGTGACCATAGCCTTGGTTAATCCTTTGATTTTCTTGGGTTGAACCTGTTCTTTCTTCCTGTTCCTTCGTTCAACTCTTTCCTTCTTCCATTCAATTTCCCATTGAGGACGGTTCTTGATGTGGTGATTAGTCTTTTCACACTTGTAGTATCCATCATTGGTGTGCTTCTCATGAACTTTTGACTTACTATAGTTTCCACTTCTTGAAGGACCTTTTCCTATCCTCAAGTACTTCTTGAAGTCCTTGGTGATCATAGCCATTTCTTCATCTTCTAGATCAGAACCTTCAGTTATTTTGAGTGCAGGACTCCTTTCCTTCTTAGGTACATCCATTTTCATAGTTTGTCTCCTAAGTTCATAGGCAGTAAGATTTCCAATTAATTCATCCAGTGAGAGAGTTGCAATGTTCTTTGATTCCTGAGTGGCGGTGATTTTACTTTCCCAGGTAATAGGTATAACCCTTGTCAATATATTCTCAACTCTATCTTCTTCATAAATAATCCTTCCAAGAGACTTTAGTTCATTTGTCAATGTAGTGAACCTTGTGTACGTCTCTTGATTGGTTTCTCCTTTATTCATAATAATGTTCTCATATTGAGAATACAGTAGAGTTCCTCTGGATCTCTTCACCTGCGGTGTTCCTTCATGAGCCACTTGAGAGTGTCCCAAATTTCCTTAGTGGTGGTACAACTTTGGATTCTGCTGTACTCATCTGGACCAAGTCCACAAAAAAGTCATTTCTTGGATTTAGTGTTCTTCTCCCATTTCTTCAAGTTCTCATCAGTGCAACCAGCTCTCGTATTTGGCACCTCTACTCCTTCGGCATTTATCTTCAAGGTAGCTAGTGGACCATTGGTGACAATGTCCCATAGCTCATAGTCCTCTCGTATAATGTGATCTCTCATCCTGGTTTTCTACCAAGAGTAGTATTGGCGATTAAAGAGTGGTGGTCTAGCAGTGGATTACCCTTTCCAGTTTTCAGGTGGTGCACTCATCTTGATCTTCTCCTAAGGTGTTAGCCTTTTCAAGGATAACCTGCTCTGATACCAATTGATATTTTATACTTCAATGCCACACAAGAGGGGGGGGGTGATTTTTATGGTATTCAATTTTCGCGTACACTGATTATAGAAAGACTTAGTTCATCTAAGTGTTTCTTATACTATTGTTGCGGAAATAGTAAATGCGGAAAGTAAAGAACACAAGTATTTTTATGTGAAAAACACCCGTCTCAAAAGGTGAAAAATCACGACCTACTATTCAGTAGGATTTTTCCAACACTTAACTAAATCAAGGAGCCAAAATAGCATTTACAACTCTTTGTAAACCTAAGGATTAACTCTAATCCCGTTGTGGCAACCAGCCTCTAACTGTTGCGACAACTTCAAGTTAACTTTAACTTGAATACTCAGAGTACCTAATACAATTGCTTCTAGATAAAGCTGAAAGGTACAACTTGAAAACACCTACTAAAATTGAAGTAGAATAAAAGACAGACGAGTGGAACTGGTTCTTCTATCTGGTTCATGTAGCTTCAGGTTCGCACACTTGAATCACACAAGAATTGTTTGCAAAATGCCTTGCTATTTTGCTCTCAACTCACGTTTAACTTCAGTTTTTGTGCGTGCCTGTAGAATGAGAATATCCTGCAATTTATAGAGTAGAATAAGAAATAACTAGAGTCCTAATGCTCCTCTTCCTTGGTGGAAGAGTTCTAGCTATCCACAACTTCTAACTCCTCCCTTGTCTTAGATAGTATTCTCTTTTGAGTAAGGAATCCTTCTCCTTATCAATTATGCAACCTTTTCGATCAGGAGATATCAGATATAACAAGTTAAGCTTATCTCCTTCACGTACATCCCTTATGCTCGAATCTGCGCGTGTGTGTGTACACATGGGATGGACCAAGTTCATGCCTGAGTTCCTTTGTCATTCTTCAAAACAAACTTCATTTGAGCCAACACACAACTTTGCACGCCACCATGTGAAAACTCGAGAACACTCTATACTAATCACACATAATTTTGTTAGATATTTGTACTAATTTGTGCAATAAATTAAAAGTTAAATGACCATTCATGAAATTAACCCCAAAATATATAGTCGCTCCGGGTTGAGTTAATAATTGATTTGTAAGGTAAAATAGATCAAGGGAAAAAGGTTATATGAAAGAAAAAAAGAAATAAAACAACACTGAATTTTGATTTCTAGTTACGTCTGAACTTTGGACATGAACCCCTTAATATTATGAAACACAAAAACAGTCGAAACATAAAAAAGAGAAAGTACTTGCTATTTGATTTGTTCATATTGAGAGAAATGGAGAATAAAAAAGAAAAGCATTCAGGAAAGCAATGTTGATTTAATGCACTTGCCATTTCAATAGGGCTTCAATAATGTCATCAATCAATCATCTCAATAATGTCTTAAATCGGCACTGCGCCGTGTAAAAAGAAGGAGCGCTTATTTTGAATATGCTTTCTGATTCATACACTTAAGCTTGACAATTCAATTGGGGTAAGATATTAGTATCAATTAGCCATCTTGTCAACCAACTGTATGCTTCTTGTGTCAAATGAGCTCCATCCCAGCTGATGTAAGTACTCGGGTCAATGCACACCGGAACTCCTATAGCTCCACATTGATTATGTAAGTCATAATTATAATCTCCTCATATTCCACAACAAGCTTTCTGTAGAGAGTTTTTGTCAAATCCTAAAAAGAAAGTTTGTAAATGCGCATATATTTCTTATAAACACATAAAAATGAGGAGTACGTATTTTTAGCATCACTTACCAAGACTGATGGCATTTTGTAAAAGCCAGAGATAGGTATCGTTCGGATGGCTTGTATATAAGGGAGGAGCAAAAAGTTAGGTAGAACCAATAGACTTGTTCAAATAGTATATTTGTGTTGAAAAATTTATTAAACATATATAAATATTAAATTTAGAACTCAGTTATTGAAACTTGAATTCGTTCTAAAATACAAAATTCATAACCCTGAAATTCCGGCCCCGCCTCTACTTGTATGAGAGCAACACGTTATCTCCGGCCATCACAAGTCACAATACACAATCTTCATATGTATTCTCGGATTTACTGAAAAGGATCAAGAAACTATATGGATTTACAAATTTAATTTACACTATTTGATTTGGGGGATGTAAACTACACTTTACACGCCACTACGTCGAAAACGAAACTATGAAAGCCTTACAGGTTCAAACAATTGTGATTGTCATGAATCAATATTATAACTCAATATACTTCAGTTTCGTTCTTCACACACTCTCTAATGAACAGGGATTAAGTACTTCAACAAGACTTGGTTGAATTGCTTGTTCACTAAATGCTCTAGGCTCTAGCTTACTATATGTGTGAATGAGTACTTGAGTAGTTTGCATAACAAAGGAAAACAATATATACACCCGTGAAATTGGCAACTTATAATTTAGGAGTCCTAAGTATGGCAGGGCTCCTAAACAGCGTGAAATCCCTCCAAAATAGCCAGGCTGCCAACTGCCCCTGAGATCCTAAGAAATCTCAACAGGATATTATTATTTATCTAAGTCAATCGCGGAGTACCTTACCCCTACCTTGAAGGTAGAAAAGTTATTTTCAATAGACCCCGACAATAAAATAACTCAAGCCAGGATCCCAAATTCTCTTACCATAATAAGTTACTGCAGTTCAGAGGACACCAGATACTCAATTCTAAGAACTTGGTTCTTAGTACATATACATAACCTAGGTTTATTAATCTATACTATATAAAATCACGAAATCCCTTAGCGAAATGTCGTTCGCCTTTTTTATCCTTTAGAAATAGATTTCACAATGGATTAAATTGTAATTTAAATTAACCTCCTAATATTTTGGATTTTCAAATCAACTTCAATTAATACTTAGCTGAATATTTAGGACTACAATGTCTAATAAATTCCTCAACTTAGATTTTCTCTCTTGGTTAGGCAATATAACAAATCCTTTAAAGTTGCAAATCTCACACGAAGCTAAAAAGCCACAAAAAACCTAAAGCCACAAAACCTTGCCATCGTCGACGCAAAGTAATACTATAAAAGTGTACTTGTTTAAATATTATTATTATTATTATTATTAATATTATCATTATTTAAATATCATTGATGATTCTTTTAGGAGCATGCTCCAAAAATTAAACACAAAGTAACAATACACAAAGTAATCCGGTTGTTCATTCAAAATATTAATGATATGAAGTAATCTCAAAATTGATATGTAGCTTTCTTTTCCGTGCGCGTGCTAAAAAAATTAGAAAATTGTAAAAATATACTTATTTGTCAATTTTCTCCAAAACAATGAGCCAAGAATATTCAAAGCATGCATGATCGTACAATGAATAATCAAATTATATTTTTACTGCATGCAAATTAAAAAAAAAATTGTTAGAAGTTAGAATAATATATGCTATGAACCAAATCACAAAATACATGGCTACATGACTGCTTGCACCAGAATGATCTCAATTCCATTCGACAAAAGAAGTAAACTTACTGTGATCGAATAAAAAAACACAAAAAAGAAAAAAATTCATTTACATTAAAGAATTGTTTTAACATTTATACAGGGTACACGCTAAACGCGCGTACACTAAAACTAGTCGTTAAAAATATATCAAATCTTAACAATTTCTGTTTAGATGGTTAACGTTTAAATATAAAAACCTACGTCGCGTGAGTTACGTGAATAACACTTTCTTGGACAATATTTGGTTAGAGTTTGAAAATAAAATTAAGTTGAAATTGAAAGTAGTAATATGTATTTAGTAGTTGACTCAATTGTTTTTGCAGTATTTCAAAACGGAAGTTCCATATTTGACAATACTGACGGCCAAAACTGACTGAAATACTTATACTCCCTCCGTTTTAATTTATGTGAACCCATTTGTCTGGGCACAAAGTTTAAGAAAAGAGAAAAACTTTTGAACTTGTGGTGTAAAATGAGGAACATATATTTTGTGTGGCTACAAATCATTGCATAAAGGTATATTGTTTCCAAATTAGAAAGAGGTTATTTTTTTTGGCACGGACTAAAAAGAAAATAGGTTCATATAAATTGAAACGGAGGGAGTATTATTTATGGTTAAACCTACTTTGGAGGCCTCAAATATTAATGTGAATGAGACTTCTTTGGACAATCATTTAGGAGTATCTACCCATGGTCCAGCTTATTAATTACAACAGAGACATGAATGACAACTTAACTAAGGCTATTTGATTTGGTAAAAGCGAAAAGAAGAAGAAGAAGATTCTGCATTTCATGAATCGCGTGGTTTCTAAGTTTGCTTTTCTGTTGAATAACCACCACCATCAAACTAATAGAAGAAATTGTTAAGTTTAGAATTTTAATAATGATAAAAAATTAAAAGAGACTTGACTAGTGACATCTCATTTTGTGCAGATTAGCAACGGCATTGATGAATGCAAGGAAAGAAAATCCTATGAGGAAATCAGAGGAAGCCAACGGCTATGTAATTCAAACTTTGCATCAAATGTAAAGAGAATCAATCAATCAAAGAACAAGTAAGGAAAGTCAATCAATTAGGCCTGCTAAAGATCCTCAAGTGCGCAAAAAAGGAAGAGAGCTAATCAAGGATAGAGAGAGCTAATCAAGGATAGAGAGCTAATCAAAGGACAATATGCGGAAGCTCTAATCAAGTATAATTGGAAGAACCAATTCTTCAAGTTAAGAATGAATCTAGCCACACTTCTGAAGCTAGATTCATGAAGCTACCCTTGGGTCTCACTCTTAGATATCAATGCCTCACAAGGAAAGACCTCAAATCATTACTGCTATGTGATCCCAGAAAATAAGGAATCAGAAGACTCATCAAGCATACAAAAGAAGAAGTAGAAGGGCAAAGCAAATCACACAACTTCACATCCGTTTCTACACGTTTCTATTTCTTATTACAAACATTGTATTTTTGAGTGTACAAGTGTCGGAAAAGAGAGGAAGAGTTAGAAAACAAAAAAAATAGTTGTTTCAGTACTAGAAAGAAACATTGTTGCTGTATATCGTTGGTGGCGAACGTACTAAAACCATCACTGTTGTAAAAACTTACTGAAGATCTAAGAGAACCCTTGTGACCCAAGGGAACTGGACGTAGGTACCACGCCGGTAATGAACCAGCATAAAAATTGCTACGTCTCCTTTACTCTTCTGTTTGCGCAATTTATTTATGTTAGGATTAATTCCTGTGTGAAGTCTAGTCGACTAAGTTTTCTCATAGTCAACTAAGTTTTACAAATCGTCTACAATTCACCCCTCCCCCCACTTGTACTTTCAATTGGTATCGAAGCAGGACACACGAATATTGCTTAACAACAAGTGAGGAAAAGATTATAGCATCAAACACAGTCTTTGGAGCAATATTTCAAGAAGGAACTTCTCAGGTACGATCTCCTTACTTCAATGGCCAGCACTTCTCACATTGGAAAGTGTATATGGAGACCTACACTATGTCATATGATATTAAGATTTGGCGTGTGATAAAAAAGGAAAATCTTTCAATTCCGCCAAAGAAGGATAAAGACGGTAAAAATATAGTATCATTTCATCCTCTTGATTTAGATGAATACACTAAAGAACAAGCAGTTGTCATCCAAGTTAACGCCAAGGCAAAAGATGTACTGTACAATGCCATAAGCAAAGAATAATATGAAAAAAATATCTACCTATGAAACTGCAAAGGAAATATGGGATAAGTTGGAAGTCAATAAGGTGAAAGAGACAAGGATTAATCTCCTAGTTCGAGATTATGAATTGTTTCAATGAAGGATGGAGAATCGGTGGAGGAAATTTTCTCTAGATTCAGCAAAATCCTTGGAGACTTAAGCCTTTGGTAGACCAATCAGAATTGGAGAACACGTGAGAAAAATTCTAAGAAGCCTCCCCACAATTTGGCAACTCAAATTTATTATTGGTACCCAATTTTCCTCTCATATTTTATAAAATATTATATATGCTTTCAAATATTATTTTGCATTATTACTCAATTTACAAGAGCCATATACGTATTTCCTATAATTATTTCATATCTTTTAAAGCTTTAAAATTGATTTCTTGTATTTAAACTGTTTAAATATTTATTAGTTATCCTTTCCAATTATTTCATGATGCCTTAATCATCAAAATTTATTATTTAAACTCACACATATGTTTTACAACATTTTTACTTCATTTAATATAATTACATTTGTATTTGTGAGCTATTTATGCAAATTTGTAATAATAGCCTATATTATATACATAATTATATTTATTACATTGTTTATGCTAAAATAGTATTTTTTATATTTTATAATATTAAGCTATTAGTTTCAATCATTTTACCGCATAAGTAATATTTTTATTATTTATAAATTACTTTTTATAAATTATTGTAAATGAATTTTGTATAATTAACCTATAGCCCAATATAGGGCTAATTTTCGGACCAAATCAGGCCCAAACCCTTAGACCACCTCATTTTACTCTTTAGCAACCCAAACCAAACAATCACATTAACTTAAACCGGTCGGAACCCATTTTCTCGATCTGCCCCGACTTATTTTAATCCTGGCTGTTGATCTCTTAAGATCAACGACCCACAATAAACCAGCCCTTCTCTTTATTACCCTTACCCAAACCCTAGAGACTATTTTCTCCGCCCAGTCGCCTCTTTATTCTCTCTTCTCTACACTCTCACACTAAACCCTATCCGCCTTATCTCTAACCATTCTTACATTACGGCTAGACAATGGAATCTCTCTATGATTCACTTTCCTTATTTGTATTACTGCACCAGTACATACGCAACAATGGTG